ATATATACATATATTATAATATATATTATATTACAATATATTATATAAGAAAACATATATCTCATATATCATGCCATATCATATCATATCACATCATATATATATATATATGTTCCTGTGGGGTTTCAGCTCCAGCGTCAGCTACGGAAGGGCATCCGACCTTAAAGCCCGTTGGCTCAGGACTTTTTCCCCGAGGTCGCGCTCTCTGTACTGCCGACCCAGAGAAAGTCAAGCCTCTTACGTCCCTCACTACGGACACAAGGCTCGACACTAAACCGGGGTGTTGTTCCCTGAGTTGCTGGTTCATTTTGGGATCCTTCTTATAGTAGTGCCGTATTCCTTTACAGATCCGAAGCAGGATGTTCAATCTTGGGAACTACTCTGGAGTTGCAAACCGAGATTCGGACTCCGGCTTCGTTTCGGGTTTAAGGTTTAGTACCGGGACCTAGCATTTAGGCTCGAGTCTTGGGGTAAGTTGCGTCAGCTTCTAGAAGCTGGAGCCTTGGATGTAGGTGTTGAGTTAAGGGCTTTTAGGCTTCAAGGCTTTAGTGTTTTAGGGCTTGGGGGCTTAGAAACTGCACGTCCCCTCGTCGGGTCTTCGTGGCAGAGACTACGTCCCTTTTCTGTCGTAGATGCTGTGGAAAAAATGAATAGCATTTCAGGGCATATGAAGTACATGATGTTTACAACAAGGAACTCGAACGAATACTCTCAGTAACTATTCGGCTTCATACGGTAGGGCGAGATCAGGGCCCTTCTCCCCGTATCCCCGGTTCGAGGGACCAGGGTTTTAGACCTCCCCTTTCGCAAACGGTTCTTTACGGTTTCGGGTTTCGGGCATAGGGTTTAGGACTTTGACTTTGGCGTTTACGGCTTTGTAGAAGGGTTGATGAGACTGGATATATATCGATTGGCTAAGTATGGGCTTGCGGCAGTGTAGGCTTCAGAGTCTATGGGCAGCATTCCTAAATTAATGGCTGGTGGAGTCTTTGGTGAACAGCGCAACGGAGCATCGTCACATATCGTCAAAGTTGTACCTTGAATGACCAAGCTGAAAGGCAATCTCATCTCGAGAATACGACACCAGATTGATGGTCGGATGGATGATTTCTCCGTCAATGTGTGCCACCTCCGCTTTCTTCTTGTCAAGGTCTGGCCTATTCGTGCAAAGAGCCTGCAGATCTTTGAGGGTCATAGGGGCATCTCCCACGTCGATAACCTTTCTTTCATGCTTCCCGCCCGAATGCTTCTCACCGTAGACCACTACACGAGCACCAGCATGTATCACAGGAGTGTCATCTTGCATAGGGCAGCCATGTTTCTCCTCACTGTCAGTGGGCATGAAGGACTCGGCACTGACGACCATGAAGGCCCTATGCTCGCGCGGATCCTTAAGGAACATTGGAGGGGCAGGCACCGTCTTGTCCGCCCAGGGAAGGCAAGGCATACCACACAAATGTCCAGGAGCGCCGATACCACAGGCGCACCGAATCAGTTGCTCCTCAGCAGCCGCCGCAGCTGTATGCCTGACTGACAAAATGCACACAAACTTGAAGCATCAAACACTTGGAGGCTCAGGGGACTCAGCAAGTAGATTCTCAGCAGGGTTGCAAGTAGTCTCATAACTAACTCATCACACTTATATAGTATCCTTACAGGGTTATCCCAACTTTAGCTCTACTCTTGGCCTATTTGAGATGCAGTTGTCGGCCGGAGCAAGGAGCAAGAAGCCCCGGATCCCAAGCAGGAACTTTTTGAACGACACAAGTAGAAGAGTCGCGCTGCTAGAAGATAGGGTCCTTTGGGGTTTAGGGTTTAGGGTTTAGGCGCGGCATTAGAACGGTATATTGTACTGTAGTTGTATTGCGACCCTTACAGAACAAACAACGTCTAAATCACCCATTGTATTCGTCCATGACACTGGGGTTTCCTACTTTGCAGGAACCCTTTTCCACCCCGACCCCCCCAAAGACCGACGCCGAAGTACACTCCTAAACCCTAACCCTAAACTCTGCAAAGCATCCGTCAAGTTGCAGCTCGCCCAAGTTTGGCCACAGGAGCGTTCCATCCGGCTTCTGCAGCTGAAGCATGGTCAACCTCATGCTTCAAAGTACGGTTATTTAGGGTTTAGGGTTTAGGATCTAGGGTTTAGGGTTTAGGATCCCTTTGAGGAGCCCTTTGATAGATCCCTTATAGATCCGTCATGCTAAACTACTGGTCCTGAGGCTCAAAAAGCCAGCTCAGGATCCTCAACCCTTGGCCTCCCCGTTCCTCGAAACTCGCAACTCCCGCTTCTGGGGTTTAGGGCTTCTAGGGGTTTAGGGTTTAAGGTTTATATAGGGGTTTAGGGCTTATAGGGGATTAGGGTTTAGGGGTTCAGGTTTATATGGGGGTTTAGGGCTTATAGGGGTTTAGGGTGTAGGGGTTAAGGATTATTTATAGGGGTTTAGGGCGTAGGGTTCAGGGTTTAGGGTCTATTTGCTGACCCCTACAGGCTAAACGGCCCTAAACCCTAAGCCGTAAAGGCTTCTGAGGGAGCCAAGCTTCCAGTGCCATAGCTAAGGGCTGAGCCTAGTTCATAAGTCCAAGAGTCCGAAGCCCTCTGCCCGCTGCCAACCGTCATAAGCACAACAAGATTACTAGACCATAGGTATGAAGGTAACATGTGAATATGCCTATAAACATAAGAGTATGTAAACACATTTTTTGGACACATGTATGTATGTATGTATGTATGTATGTATGTCTGTATGTATGTACGTATGTACGTATGTACGTATGTACGTATGTACGTATGTACGTATGTCTGTTTGTATGTATGTATGTATGTATGTATGTATGTATGTGAAAATGTATGTATGTATGTATGTACGTATGTATGTATGCATGCATGTATGTATGTCATGTCTAGTGATTATGGTTAAGGGCAACATGAAAGCCATGGCACACGAAACTGCTCAATAAGTCCCAACACCCAAACCCAACAGGTCAAGCAGCAGGGGGTCCAGCATCACCACTGCCGTCAGCTCCTCCTGTTTTGCCGTGTAGAGTTTGGGTATAGGGTTCCAGGTGCGAGGTCTATCTATCTCTAGGAGCCTATCTGCCTACCTATCTAGCTATCTCGCTATCTACCCACCTACCCACCTCTCCATCTCTTAAGGGGGCGGACACACCGTGGACTTATATGTCCTAAATAGGTCCCTAAAACCTAACATGCATGCAACCCTAAACTCAAGAAGTCCCTAGACCCTAAAATGCATGCAACCCTAAACTCAATAAGTCCCTGGACCCTAAAAATGCATGCAACCCTAAACTCAATAAGTTCCTAAACCCTAACATGCATGCAACCCTGAACTCTAAACAGCCCTGAACCCTTCACTCGAGCCCTAGACCCGGCAACTGAATCCTAAACCCACGGTTTAGGGTGGAGGGTTCAGGGTTTAGGGTTTAGGGTTAAGGGTTCATGCCTCAAACCCCAAAGTCTTGAGCCCTAAAGTTTAGGGCTAAGGGGTTTAGGGCTAAGGGGTTTAGGGTCTAGGGTTTAATAAGGGGTTTAGGGTAAGGCATGATACCCTAAACTCTAAGCAAAAAAAACTCCCATCTCGAACCCATAATTAGCCCTAAAAACAGTTCAAACAATGCGACTCCCCACTTTTAAACCCTGCGAAAGTGGGTCTTCCATCCTCGCCCAGGGTGTCCAGTGCCACATGCGGCGACAGCTTCTCGCCCGCTGCTGTTGCGAGGCTACAGCTTGGCACCTGCTGGTTTCGTGCTTAGCGGAGCCCTAAACCCTGAAGCCTAAACCCTAAACCCTAAACCTACCCTACTTCATCACGGCCCCTAACGACAGTCTTCTTCAAGGTTCCGAGGCGGCAACCCCTTTAAGGTTTAGGCTTACCGTCCTTGCTTGGGAATGGCTTTGGGCCTCCCTAAAATCCCCATAAGCCTTATTGTAAGGTTTAGGGATGAAGGTTTCGGGGTTTAGGGTCTAGGGATTAGGGTTTAGGGCAAGCCCTTCAAAGCTTTCACCCCTAGAGGCCCTAGAAACCCCGTAAACCCTGCAAGCCTTCGACCCAAGAAGCCCTAAACCCCAAACACCTTCAGCTTTACTACCGCAGGGTGGCTGGGGGGGGAGTCTGTCAGCCCAAGCTGGGCGGAACCCTTCGGGCCCCAAAGTAGCACTCCATCAGGGAGGGAGCGCTTGGAGATTCAAGAACCTACTACGGTGGTTGACCTAAATCCTGCATGACCCATAAGAAGGAATATACCATACTTCCCATAGTTTAGGGTAAATTCATGAGCTGAGGGGCTTCAGCTGCACGGGCCCTGTTGAATTCTGATTCTAATCGCGGTTTTGGGATTAGGGTTTTAGAATAAGCCGGCCTGAATGATGGTGGCCACATGTGTGGCCAACTCCGAAACACTCTGAAAATCCGAGGGCTCGAAGCTGTACAAGTGTTCTCCGGCCATTGAGACTACCTGTGATGGAGTTGGCGCAGAGCTGCCGGAAACAAAAGAAAAACAAAATTGCAAATGAGCGCAACAGATGTCATCATCGGTTTTCATGCAGGTCGGGGTTCAATCGCAGACTAAGCACCCAAATGCATGCAGGCTCAAACCCGTGACCCCCCACGAGTAAATCAGGGGCCGCTGAGGGCTTCAACTCAAGCAGAGATGACCCACAAATAACGACGGTTATATAGTAGATACGAGTGTATACAGCCTATACTACACATATCGTGGGAGCATGTAGAAGACAAGTTTTTTGAACCATGATGAGCGCCAGAGCGCAGAAAATTTCACTGCAGTCCCACTTGCAACAAATCCGTATGAGCGATAAAGAGGCAGTTGAAATCCAAGATGCGCGCACCATAGTGTCGTCCGGCCACGCAACACTGCAGGCTACGCTTCGTCATGTCTGAGCCAAAATTCACATTCAAGAGAACTCCCACGGCCCATCTGCTACAGCTAAAGAGTAGCCTGAGTCCTGAAGACCTTATAAAAACCCTTACTACAGCAACCCTTACTGGCTACAGTAATTTAGTAGCCTAAATCCTGAAAGCCTAGAGCAGCAACTCTGCAACCCGGTTCAGACCATCGCAGGCTGGAGGCTGATGTGCCGCGGCTTGCTCTGCATAAGACTGAGTGGTTTAGGGTTTCGGGTCTAGGAGTGCCCAGGAACAGGCATGCAGCCATGGTGCATACGGTTAGCACCATCTTTTGAGGTACTGGCACTGTTCGCACAAGTGTTTCTTCTTGCGGACTTCCAGCTCGCACACACACACACATACACATGACTCGTCACACTGACACTCGTACATAAGTACAGGCACATATGTGTCTGCGGAACAGATATTTACACAGCTCTAAGAGATGTGCAGGCACCTCTGCGAGCGCATGTGTACTATGAACACGTTTATGCACGTAGAAAACATACATGGGTAGTTCTCTAAGTTGGGGTCCCCTTTTAGGTCCCCAAAGATAGTACCGCACCCTCATCAAAGGGACCCTATGTAAAAGGAACCCGAATTTAGAGAAATACCCACATACACAAGCCTCAATCCATCTTACCTCTCATCCCCGACAAAAGACAACCAAGGTCTGAAACAGCTGCAGTAATAGAGGGGCCTTAAGAATTAGGATAGGGTTTTGGGACGCCTTGCCAGGGTTCCCCAAAAGGGTTCTTCTAGAAGGGCCACTCTAAGGGTTTAGGGTTTAGGGGCCTTCAGAATTAGGATTGGGCTTTGGGGTAAATTTTATATACTGTAATTATAAGAAGGAACCCCACACTAGTTTTGGTAATGATTCCGGCCCTTATATTCGACACCAGGTTTCCGGACCGCTGACGCTTCTCATCGAAGATCTGAGCTAAGCGGGGCTCCTCTTCGGATGCCCAATTGGAGGTGTGGTCTTCAGCGTTTTGGCCATGGTTTGGGGTTCGATAGACATGAGGCGCTCGGTGATGCTTAAAGGATTCCGTCTTCGAGTTGAGGGTGCAGAGTTTTTAGACTTGGGGCTTGGACAAGGCTGCAGAATCCAAATTTGGTAAGAAAGCGGTTGCAGGGTTTAGGGTTTAGGGTTTAGAAAGCAGTTGCAGGTTTAGGGCCAGGAATCCGGCAATGAAAAATGAGAGTTGGGAACTCTGCAGGCCAAGCCGTGGACACGTGGAAAACACCGGTAGCACTCGCAAGGAACTAGGGCTCTGAAGCCTTTTTCTTCCGAAACCAGCTGCAAGGACTGGGAATAGCTCAGTGAACCAGGAAAACGCAGGCTGCCTGCTTCCTGTATGCAAAAATGGGGCCCAAACAGAAGAAGACTGAAGCAACGAACAAGCACAGACACAACAACACCAACGTGCACAGTTAGAAACTCACCAGGAAACGGAGCAGACCAACAGCAGCAACTGGGGAAAGGCGCCTTTCGATCCCACTGTCTGCGTATCTGGGGGTTTTGGAACACTAGCGGCGGCTACTTTCGGCCGAAATAAGGACCCCAATCTTCTGAAATTCCTTTGCTTGAACTTTCCGGCCCCCAAATCGTAGAAATCCTTGAAACCCGAATTAACTCTGAAATCGGTTTCGGACACGAGGCAAACTCGAACCCATTATAAAACTTCTAAACACCACTCCGTGAATGAACTGAACAACCTGCATAGGCCCCATAGAGGCAAAAACCGCACCTGCCAAACAAAAAGCTTCCTTCAAGCCTGTCATTCTTCACAAGCTATCCAACATGCTAAGACGAACCCCTGTACAACTGTTAAAAAGACACACAACTACACCCACTTTCGAACTATTCTGGGTCCTTATTATAGAACCCTCAGCCCCAACCCAAAACCTTAAACCTAAAACTCCTAGATCCTACACTCCGAACCCTAAATTCTAAACCCTTAAAAATCCTTAGCAAGACACAAGAAAGTTAGAACCTCACTATCCTCATACCCGTACTGTAGAATCAACAGAAATCCAGCAATAACCATCCTGAACCCATGCTCCAACTTTGTGGCTTGTACTATGGGTCCTACTCTAAATTAGGGTCCCCTTTTTAGCCGCCCTTTTCTGTATGGGTACATGGACCTCTCAACCCTAAACCCTAAAGACCTCACAGAGCCGTCGTTATAGCAACCCTTCCTAGGCCTCAAAGCCTTAAACGGCCCTAAACCCTAAACC